CAACAGGTCTGGAGAGGGCCCCCAACAAAGACCAGTGGCACTATTCTGCAGTAAGGCAGGTATGATGAAAGACGCACAGGAGAGGTTGTATTACTCCCCCCACCCCACCCCTGCCCCACTAGCCCGTTAAGACAGACACCAGACAGTGCTCAGCTACCATCATTCATTCTAAGGGTCTGATCCATGAGTCTATAGGACAATCCTGACCCAAAGGAGGCAACTGTTAAAGAGATTCCCAAATTTTCATGGCAGTCAGGCCTTCTGGATCCACCGAGACTGGATGAACCCCCTCCCCGGAAACAAATAAACCAAAAAATGATCATCCCCAGATAATCTTCAGACAGCAAACCTTAAACCAAAAACACAAGGGTGGCTTCAGGAACAAAATGAACAGATAACGGAATCCTTTCCACAGACATCCTGAAGACACCCCCCCCCCCTTTAAAAGCTCTGGTGGCCCAGTGGGTTAAGCACTGCTGCCCTGTCAGCTCTGGCAAAGATGCGCAGTCTCAAACACTCCAGCAATGGGCCAGTCCCGGCTCTGCCTTACAAGGTGGCCAGGAGTCAGAATCAACTCAATGACAGAGTCATTCCCTCTGAGACAAAACCAACCTCACTGCCGCCGAGTCGACTGTGACTCCCAGAGACCCTACAGGGCAGGGGAGAGCTGCCCCGTGGACTTCCGAGATAGATGGCCACTGTTTACGGGAGAAGAAAACCTCCTCTTTCTCCCACGGAGTGCCTCTGGTCTTGGACTGCTGACTTTGAGGTGGGCAGGCCAAGCTGCTTCCACTACACCACGAGGGCCCCATGCGGTCCCCTGAAGTCTTCTTTACATCAAACGGGAGTTCAGCTTGACAAGGAAAGAACCCCTGCCTCGATCCATCGATCCATCTCCACAGCAGCACCTCCAAAGACCAGACAGGAAACCTAAAGTCCCGGGAGCTAGTGAACGAGCTTCTGGGGATGGGGCAGGAACCACTGGGGGAGGGCGGGGAGGGGGGGGCTGCATCACTGGAAGGCTCTCGGTGGCACTGACACCCACGTGTTGACATGGCTGGATTGCCCGTGTGTTCTGTGTGTCTTCTTAGCAACAATAATTACTTGGGGGGCGGGCGGGCAGTTGCCTTAGAAAGGACCCCCTCCTACACCCTTCGCCACCACTGCCAGGTACGTGTGAAGGTCAGTGCAGTGCCCTCTTGGAGGTGGCTCGTGGTTAAAAATCATCTGGTTGATCCTCCTTGATCCCCCGCACCCCCCCC